CACGCCGCGCGGAAACGGGCGTTGCTGGCGGCCAACGAGGAGGAGGACCGCGAGATCCGCAAGCTGGAGCGCCGCCTGGGCCTCAGCAAGCGCCGGAGGCGGGGCGACGCCAGCGCCGTGCCGCTCAGCTTCGCCCGCGACGGGCTCGACTACATCCTGGGCGCCCTCGGGTCGGGGGCTGGCAGCGGCCTGTACGACAGCGGCGGGGACAGCGAGGCCGACGGGGACAGCGGCGGGGAGGCGGAGAGCGACGGGGACAGCGAGAGCGACGGGGACAGCGAGGCCGAGAGCGACGGGGACAGCGACGCCGAGGATGGGAGCGGGGAGCAGGAGGACCTGGACGAGCAGGAGGCCGGAGCGCGGAGCGAGCAGGAGCAGGAGGCGCTGGAGGACAAGCGGGAAGAAGAACCAGCCGGCGGGAGGGCGAAGGAGAAGGGGAGGAACCGGAGAGTCCGTTTTGCGGAGGACGCGGGAGGGAGTGAAAATTCCCCGGCGGCGGCTGTTGCCGCAGCGGACCAGGTACGGGGGTCCGGCGTTGTGGGGGCAGCCTCAGCCCTCTGGGGCGCCCCTCGAAATAATGACGAGGACCGAACGTGGGGCACGGGGTTGCCGTTGTTGTGTTTGTGTTTGAGCGGAGTGTGGGTAAGTGGGTTATTCTGTCTACTTTTATGTTTTTAAGTTTCCATGATGAAGAGTTAAGGAGGGAAGACCTCCCCAGAGGCCTTTCATCCCACGGCCTAAACGGCCACCCCCGCCGGTTGTCCTAAGGGGACGTCTCCATTCGGTGTTTACTGCCTCAGTCTCCAAACCTGACTGTGACCCCCCCCCTACTTTGTTCCTGACCCCCCCTTTCCTCGCCTAGGCCTTTTCCTGTCGGACTGCCCCTGGAGTCTTTTTTTTTTTTCTTCTAATCCTCACCCTCAAGGATATTTTTTCCATTGATTTTTTTTTTTTTTTTTTAGAGATAATGGAAGGGAAGGAGGGGGAAAGAGAGAGAGAGAAGTCAGTGTGAGAGAGAGACGTCCATTGGTTGCCTCCTGCACTCGTCTTAACCAGGGCAACACAGGTACATGCCCTTGACCGGGAATTGAACCCATGACCCTTAGGTGCTCTGGCCGATGCTCTGACCACTAAGCAACACTGGCCAGGGCTGGAGGGAGTCTAAAATGCTAAGCTAGTCTGCAACACTCACTTGGATAGTCTCACATTGAAGATCAAGTTTACAGCCCAGGACACAGCGGTCCAGGCCTGCACGGGCTCCCCCGCACTTCAAACCACCTTCACCCAACAGGCACCTTGAAGGCAGCCAATGGAATTGCTTGTTTTCTTGTCATTACTGTGGTCCCCCTTATCCACGGTTTTTCTTTCTGTGGATTGTCACCTGTTGTCAACCGTGGTCCAAAGATAAATAAATGAAAAGTTACAGGAAGAAACAGTTCATGAGTTTCAGTGACACGATGTCCTGAGACGCGTGATGAAATCTCATGCTGTCCTGCTCTGTCCAGGAATCACTGATTTTTTATTTATTTTTTGCTACCGGCCCTTGAGTCACTAAGCAGCCTTAATGTCTGTTTTCAGATCAGTTGTCATTGCATTGCACTGCATTGCTTGTGTTCAGATAGCTCTTACTTCACTTATAATGGCCCCAAAGCGTAAGTGTAGTGATGCTGGCAATTTGGATCTGCCAAAAAGAAGCCGTAAAGTGCTTCCTTTAAGTGACAAGGTCTGTGTATGAAGGTTAGTACTGCCTGCAGTTTCAGGCATCCATGGGGCTTGGATCGGGTCCCCTCCAGAAAACGGGGGCTGCTGTATTTTATCACCTGCCCCTAAGTCTGTTACCCTGCTTGCAAAGCCTTTGCTCACTTTCTTGCTGTGGTGTTTACCTGTCCATGTCGGGCGTCTCAGGGACTCTTCCCATCTTTGGTAAAGGAGCCGCCTTCTCTTCTCTTCCTGGTTCCTTTGTACCTATTACTTTGTGAGCAATTCTTTATTGCTGCAGTTCCTCTTAGAACGTTGTCTTTGACTCTTCCTAGTTTTCTGCCACAGCCTGTTGAGGTAATTGACATGCAGTGTGAAATAAGGGTGTTTCAAGAGTGACTATCTCCATGTCCATCGGTGTGCTTTCTCCAACCAGGTTTAAACTCACAGCAAGGGTCATGCTTACCAGTGCTTCCTAAAGACCTGTCACTCAGGTGTCCAGGGAGTGTCGGTCAGTGATCACGATTTGTAATCCTCATAGTTGATAATCTAGGAGATAGTGAGCAGTGGATTGATTTTGACTTTAGCATGTAAATTTAGATACTAGTTTTCAACAAGTTTGATATTATTTTAGGACACTTTCCCTCCAAAAACTGGTGGTACATTTGGTGTTTATGTGCCACTGTGCCATAGCCCCGGAAATTAAAGCTGGGCAAAGTGTAGAATGTAGTACTGTGTAGTGAGATCCCAGAGGGACACAGCCTGGTCAAAGAACAACAGGGGAAAACAGGATGGGGAAAAGTATTGACATCACCACAAATGGTAAGCCCACAGATGCGGAGGGGAGCGCTTATCCAGGCTGTTGTGGGCACTCAGCAAGCCCCTAATGTTTATTAAACTGCCATGGTCAGTGGTTACAGCTCTGCCAGTTCCTGGGGATTGAACATCTAACAGTGCACACAGTAAGAGAAAAGTGGGATTTGTTCAGTATGGAGTTTTGTAATTTATTTCTGTCCTTTTCAGCAGAGTCTTGGTGAAAAGTACATCCCCCCTCACGTGCGGCGCACTGAGGAGACAGTGGACGCTCAGAAGAGAGAAGAGAGGGAGAGGCTAAGGAAGCATGTCCAAGGTCTAATTAACAGGTAACTTCCAAACCCTGTTACGCTGTCATTTAAAGAAATGGTCTGCTTTCCAAAAATATAGAGACTGTCCAGGAATTAAAACACAATGAGGGGGCGGGGCTGTGGCAGCCGATTGGCTCCTTTCTGTTCTCATCTTGATGCAGCCAGACCCAGACCCGGACGAGCAGAATGCCCACCTTTTCTCTTTGGTACATTGAGCCCTTCAGAGCTTGAAAGCCACGCAGGTACCCACGTAGTTATTTTGAGACCACCCAGAAGCAGGGACAGCAGGACTGGCCCTCCTCCCTGCAGAGAGGCCCAAGGTGGCCCTCTGGTCAGGAGCGTGGTCCTCCATCCCGGAGCTCCTTCACCCTGTCCACGTGTGTGCAGCTCTGTAGCGTCATCCACAGTCAAGACGGACCTGGCCCAGCACCACACAGCTCTCCTGCTACCCCTTGTGGTCAACCCCCCCCCCCATTGTTTTTAAAATTTTTTCTAATGTTCAGGGCGAGCACAGGTGCAACGCATAGCTTCTGTGTGCATGTGCATCCTTCCCTCCCACCCTGGAAGCAGGATGCCTTTCCTCTGTGCTCAGGAGCGCAAGATTTTTAAGTCATTACCCAAGGATATTTTTTCTATTGCTTTTCAGAGAACGTGGA